AACTTCATATTGATGCCCTTGATCACGTCTGGTCTACATTGATGCATTTGAACTTAAAACAAGCTCCTGCTCAACCCAATCAGCTTCAGTGGCGTTAACTTGGTGACAAGGATTAATTAAGATGAGGTGCTGGCAGCGCTCAGGGCTGGGGAGCTCCCCTGGGTCCGCGCCTGGCCCGAGGGACCTTCCCAGCCAGCGCTGCCTTCACTCCTCCCTCCTCATCCCAGCCAGCATCTCCATGCACTTTGGGATGTGACCAAGCTCAGCCCCTTCCCAGGCTGTGTTGGGAATCACCATGTGCAGCAGCTCAGCACGCAGTGGGAGAAGATCTGGGAATGTCCACAGAGAGAGATGGGAGCACACTGTGAGGTCCCTTTTGTGGGGTTTGCTGGCCTGAGAAGGCACCAGCCCTGGGCTTCTCCAAACGCCCCCGAATTCCTGCCAGGCATGCCRGGCCCAAAAGAGGGCAGCATCCTCCGCAGGTTAATGCAGCGGGATTCACACGAGCCGTGAAGCGTCTGCCTCCGTGGCTGTGGGGCCTCAGCTGCATCCAGTGCTGGGGGGACCGGCCGCTTTCCAGCATCTCTCCTGGATCCTCTGCCCCACAGCRGCTCCCCAAGAACCTCAGGAGCCTGTTGCAGGTCCCAAATCACTCGCACAGCCTAGTGAGGAACAGAGCCAGCAGTTGCAAGTTGAAGCCATGGAAAGGGGGATGGCTTTAGCCCTGTGCTAGATGCTGACCCTGTATCAGGACATCATCCATTGCTGCCCTTGGAGCAGCTGGATGCCATCCAGCAGCTGCACAGCCCTGCAAAGCCACCAGCGCCCCGGGACACCCCCACTAYGACAGCAGCAGACACCAAAACAACCCCAAACCACGACTTCTGCAGGAGGCTGGTTCTTCCTTTCCTCTCGGACGTGGGGTGCACATTGGATTGGGGGAGATGCTCTCCGCGGCGTGCGGAGGACACGCAGGGTTGCTAGCAGCACCGGGAGGGCRTTTCTGCTGCTGGCCCCGTGCCCGGGCTCCGCCTAACAGTGAGCAGATTAGGTGATCCCGGCCCCGTGCTGACTAAGCCCGGGAAGGAAGCGGGATTAGCAGAGCCGCTTCCCTGGGCCACCAAGCTGCGCCTTGCTTCCCTTTTACTTTTTAACGGGTGATTCCAAGCGGAGCACCGGCCCTTCCYGAGCCCTGGGGAAGCGCTTCCAGCCATCTGGGCTGGAAGATAACGCGGGGCTGGCCGGAGCTGCCTTCCTTCCCACGTTTCCCTGGCCTCTGGGTGGGCAGAGCTGCCTGACGCAGTGCTTCCTACTCCTCCAGGGCTGCGACTTGGCTTTTCCCAGGCTGGCGAAGCCGCCTCCTTAAGCAGGCGATGGGAACTTGATCCAGGCGTGCTCCAGTTGGCACACGGGCCGCTTTCTTCCCGTCCCACTTGGCWAAACGGAGCAGGAAGAGGCCTTGGCTGACGGGGAGCTAGGAAGGATCCGGGTCAGTCAGAGCACAGAGTCGATTCCCAAGGCGAGGGGACTGGACTCCTCCAATGGCATCTGCAGGGAAAAACATGACCATGGAGCCGTCCCCAACGCTGGCGGGACCAGCTGGGCTTTTCAGCCACGTCTGAGCAGATGTGGGGAGAACAGCCCCACTGCACCAGGGCAGCTCTGCCCCAATCTCCTCTGCAAGCCCAGCAGCATCTCCAGGCGGATGGGGCAGGTGGGCTCAGCTCATCTCTCCCGTTGAGCCCAACGCACTGGAGGGRCCCATCCTGCCATCCTCTTCCCCATGGGGCCCACGTCCTCCAGCGGCGGCAGGAGCTCCAGGCATCCTGTTTCCCTGCAGCTGGAATTCCTGTTTACATCCCGCTGACCCTGGCGCACRGCGCTCACTCCTGGGCGCATGTCCTTCACTCCCTCCATATATATATATTTATATATTTAGGGCAATTTGCCATGGCTTTGCAGAGGTTGGCAGCTCCTTGCCACCTGCTGTCTTTAGGAAGGACCAATCGTCTGGGAACACGAGCTGGGAACGCTTGGGGATGATGTTTTCCTCCAGCCTGAGTCTCTGGGTGGGACGTGTGACCATCTCTGGATTTCTCTGTCTGCTAACAGCAGAAATCTCTGCAGGCCAGGGGTAAAGCAGGCAGCTCAGTGAGCACGTGCCTGGTGGCCCAAGGTAGAGGCCTCCTTCTCCAAGCCTCTCTGCATCCCCCACCTTAGAGGGAAGTCTCCTTAGATGTCCACGATGAAGGACTTGTCAGCTCCCTATCACTGGGATGTGGAGCAGGAAATTTTTGGGGAGCACAAAGCAAGGGTTCCCCACCACCTTTTCCTTGTCCTGGACAGCGCATGGATGAATCCAGGACCCTCTCCGTGCTCTGCTGGTGGATCTCCCTCCAGCGCCATCACAACTCAAGGCCACAACCCACAGGAGCCCAGACTGCTCCCATTGCTCAAGGTTTGGCACCATGGCACCACACACACCCACCCAAACAGGGGACAGCATCACATGGTGCCTGCAGGGAGCTGTAAATGTCTCAGCAGTGCCGAGGCTCCTGCCCGGTTTGAGCAGCACGGCTGTGACTCACGAGAAACGTTCAAGCTCCATCGTGGGAACGATCTGCTGGAAGTGGTGTGAGATGCCCTGCAGGTATTCACTCATCTGTTCAGCTCCCTCGCTTCCAATCTGCTGCACTTGAGCTTGGCAGGTTGTCTGCTGCTTCCTCCGAGTTGGGAGGATGACATAAAAAGCGATTTTTTTTCCCCCAGCTGTTTCTATTGGTGTTCAACCTGGTCCTCCAGCCCTGGTGGTTTGGAGTCCTGGAGTGGTTTGGAGCTCCTGTGCTAGCTTTTGGAGATGCCCAACACGCTGCCCAATTCACCACTCCTTTTCAGACATGGAAAAGACAGTGGTTAGACCTATGTCTGGCTTTGGCAGTCACAGTCTGTCCAGCTCCTGGGCCGGGGAGCTTGGAAGCCAAAGGCAATGCTGGCACATGTGGGCGCTGAGCTTGTTGCAACCTGCGAGGCAGAAGCAGCCCTCGGTGTTGGGGTTCATCCACTTACTGCAAACGTGACTCACCTGCACGTACTTTGCTCTCTGCTTGGGCAAAAGGTCTAAATGCAAAGCTCAGATGACTTGCAACTGCGGCTTGGAGCATTTCCTGGGAGCCTGGGCAGGTCTCCATGGGTCCCATCTCTGGATCTATGAGAAAGGAGCAGCTTAAACATTTCCTCAGGGGAAACCTCTGGGAGAGGGACAGCTTCGCCCCATGCCCACCCTGGTGGGTGAGAAGCAGCTAGTCCAGGGGAGTTTCATTCTGAGGTTGGATGATATCAGCACATGGGTGGGAGGGGACCACTGTCTCGGCCATAGGATCTCCTATGAGACCCTGGAGGCCCCATCCAGCCAGTGGGGCTACACAAGGCATCCCTAAGAAGCAGCTGCTTCACATGCAACCATCAAAAGAAGTTCTCAAGCATGTCACGCCTGGTGGTGCGCTCTCCTGGATAAGAGCGATAAACTACCCACGCCAGTCAGTGCTTTGTCACCAAGGAAGCAGGAAAAGTGCCAAGCATGCTGGAAGAGCAGGCGGGATGAGGTTTCTGTGGGAAGACAAATCCCAGCAACACCACTGCTGAGCATCTGCAATGGCTTCTGGAGCTACCATGGGGGTCAAAGCCCTGGGAAGGGCTTGGCAGTGGTTGAAGACCAAGAAGTCCTGCTGGACTTTCCATACTACCCTCGAGGTGCCTCTGGATTAACCCTTTGTGCAGGTAGATTTTCTAGGCCCCGACGTACAGATCCGTATCTCTCCTTTAACCCTTGCGGGCAGTCCGTGATGCTCTGCCAGCTCCCTGGTTCCACTCCAGCCCTGCAGCGGTTCTTGGAGAGCCGGAGAACCSGAGGCGGCTCCTCCGCTGGCAGCGGGTGCTGCTATCTCGCACGCCCTTCACCCAGTGAAAAGTTCGTGAACCTCTTCTTTCTTTCGCAATCCTGGCCTCTTTCCCAAGCCTCTCTGTTCATCATCACGGCTAAGCACCAGGGCAAGGGCTTGGCCAGCAATAGGCAGCTGTAGGTGCCTGGGACTGCAGAGTCTCTGCTGGTTATCTGGTTATCTCAGTGGTTTGGGGAGGGCAATGGAGCCCTTTGGGCGAGTGACTCATCCCTCTGTGGAGGCTAAACACATAAAAGGCATCAAAGAGCCTTCRGTTGCTTCCACCGCCTCCCTCAAATGAGGGATAATGGTGGTATCACAGAATGGTTGAGGTTGTAAGGGACCTCTAGAGATCATCTAGTCCAACCTTCCCGCTCAAGTGGGGACACCCAGAGCACGGGGCACAAGGTAGCAGGCAGGTAGATTTGAAGAYCTCCAGAGAAGGAGACTCCACAACCTCCCTGGGCAGCCTGTTCCACTGCTCTGTCACCCTCACAGTGAAGAAGTTGCTCCTCACCTGGAGATGGAACTGCCTGTRTTTCAGCTTATGCCCATTTACCCTTGCCCTCCCACTGGCCACCACTGAGAAGAGCTTGGCCCCTTCCTCCCTCCATTCCCCCTTCATGAACTTATCGTGTTAATCATATCCCCTCTCAGCCTTCTCTTCTCCAAGCTGAAGAGGCCCAACTCCCACAGTCTCTCTTCATACGAGAGATGTTCCATTCCCTTAATCATCCTGGTTGCCCTCCTCTGGACCCTCTCCAGAAGCTCCACGTCCCTCCTATACTGGGGAGTCCAGAACTGAACACAGTGCTCCAGGTGCGGCCTCACCAGAGCTGAGTAGAGGGGCAGAATCACCTCCCTTGACCTGCTGGCAACRCTCCTCCTGATGCAGGCCAGGATSCCATTGGCCTTCTTGGCCACGAGGGCACACTGCTCACTCATGGTTAACTTRGTGTCAACCAGGACTCCCAGGTCCCTCTCTGTGGAGCTGCTCTCCAGCAGGTCAACCCCTAATCTGTCCTGGTGCCTGGGGTTATTCCTGCCCAGGTGCAGGACCCTGCACTTGTCCTTATTGAACCTCATGARGTTCCTCTCTGCCCAACTCTCCAGCCTGTCCAGGTCCCTCTGGATGGCAGCACAGCCCTCCGGAKTGTCGGCCACTCCACCCAGCTTGGTGTCATCYGCAAACTTGCTCAGGGTGCAYTCCGTGCCCTYRTCCAGGTCATTGATGAACAAATTGGACAGCACTGGGCCCAGGACTGACCCCTGGGGGACACCAACTGGACTCAGCCCCATTTATCACCACCTTCTGGGCTCTACCATCCAGCCAGTTCTTGACCCACCTTACTGTGCACTTGYCCAGACCACTSTCTCAGAGCTTCTGCATGAGGATATCATGAAACAGTTTCAAAAGCCTTGCTGAAGTCGAGGTAGACAACATCYACAGCTCTCCCCTCCTCCAGCCAGCCAGTCATCCCATYGTAGAAGGCTATAAGGTTCATCAGACATGACTTACCCTTGGCAATTCCATGCTGACTACTCCCGATCACCCCGTTCTCCTTCATATGCCTGGAGATGCTCTCTAGGATGAGCTGCTCCACCACCTTACCAGGGACAGAGGTGAGGCTGACCAGCCTGTATTTGCCCAGCTCCTCCTCTTGCCTTTTTATATCTCTCTCACCTGTGCCCTGCATTTAGTGGGCATCACCTGCCCTTTCCTCCAGCTGCCCCTCATGTCCATCATTGTCTTTTTAATGTAGCAGYTATCCTGCTGCCAGGCAATCACTAGCAAGGCAGACACTTGGCAAGCAGTAAAGAGCTGGACAAATCAGTCCAAGGCCACCTGAAAGGAGCTGAGCTTTGCCAATCCCCACATCCTCCCTCTGCTCTTCCCTTTTTCTCACTCCTGTTTGCAAAGTCCCCTTTGAAGGAACGTCTCCTGCAGTGCTGAGAGCATGGGGCTRCAGGAGCACACGTTGCTCTGGGGATGCAGCAACCCAGAATGTGGCACTGAGCATGACGCTGATTTTCCAGGATGTTCCCTGAAGACCTTGGGAGGTGGTGGTGGTGGCAGCGAACATCTTGGCCCCTGAATGAACATTTGCATGTCTTTGCTAACTGCTGCTGAAACTCTTCCCCCACCCCTGACTCAACCAGACATACCTTTGTTTTCGCATGCCAGCAGTGCCTCAGGAGCTGGGCACTTATCAGAAGGCAGTGAGTCACCCCAAACATCTGCTGAACTCATTCTGCAGGAGCTCCTGCAACTCGGAGCCCGGATTCCAGCTCTTAGCACGTGCCCATGGTGGCCCTGCTTGTTTTTAAAGACATTGATGGGATTCTTTTTTTTTTTTTTTTCTTTAATGGTGGAGGTCCCCTTTTGGTTCTCAGCTTGCCCAAGATGTTGCTCCATGGTCTGCATCTAGGGCTTGTGTGCATGGGAGATGGGGAGGTAATACCTGCAACCTGAGAGCCTTGCCAGCATGGAAGCAGCCCCGGGATCTTTAGGGGAGCTGTTTCTAGACTTCTTTTTCAACCACAGAAAATGCTCCACCTTCTGCTTTCTGCAAGGAAAACCTTACTGGGAAGAAACATGTGCTGGCATGATTTGTACTCATGTCTCGAGGTGTTTGGGGACGTGTTTCCTCATTCAGTGTTGAGCATGGAGCTGGGCAGCACCGTGACCAAAACACATAAATGGTGACAAGACGTGCTAGAGGTCAAATTAATCTCTGTGGCATTAAGTCTTTATTATTATTATTATTATTATTATTATTATTATTATTACTGTTGTTATGGAGGTGATCTTGGTGGATCTTGGCCAACAGACCTCTGCACCTTGCCCAACACTGGGTTTCACCGGGTTTCACTCACATCCCCAGCCCAGCGCGGTGCCGGCAACAAGGGGAGACCTTGCAGAAGGACACGCAGCTTGAGGAGAGCTGTGGCTGCAAAACCCAGCAGGATCCGGTGCCGACCTGCGAGGCGACATTCCTGCTCTTCTGCTGCCTTGGCAAGAGTCCCTTCCAGGCTGCTCTGTGAGCAATGACCCCAAGATGAAATAGCAGGGAAAGGGGAACTGGGCTTGTGAGGATCTTGACTCTTCTTTTAGTAAAAGGCACCCTCTGCACCAGAAAGCCTGTAGATGTTACAGACTGTAAGTCCCGTGWGGCTTTTGGGAGGTGCAGCTTCTGGCCAGATTTGGCTAAAAACATCCAGCCGCTCTGCTGGGTCACCTCATTTGCTTCACGGTTCTCCAGCAGCATGGACCGGCTCTGCAGGGCTGGGTCCAAGGTGCAAGGAGGTCCCTGATGCGARGAACCAGAGCTGCAGAAGATGACTCTCAAATTCGGAAGCAGGTTGCTCAGGAAAGGCTGACGTTGCCCTGCAGGCACACGGATGCTCCCGGGCGTGCCTGCCTAGGGAAAAGGCATGCACCTCAGCTCGGTGCCTTGGGCTGTGTTCTTAGAAGACATCAGCTGCATTGAGCTGCCTCCAGCCTCCTCCGAGTCCTCTGGACTTTGGGGAGCGAGGGGCCCTGAATAAGCAATAGGCCAACGTGGCTGCTAGTAAGGGTAAAAAGAAATAAAGTCTACGTTTTGTTGTTGTTGTTTGTTTGCCTGCTTGTTTTCAGTGAAACTTGACGTTGAACGTTGCCCTGGGAATGGCAACACTCTCTTCCAGAGCGGTCAGCACCAGGTTGGTCCCTCTGCGTGSAGTGAAGGCCATGGCTCCCGTCCTCCACGGCCTCCTCCGTGCCTCCGGGCACGTCCCGGCTGCCGGGAGCCCCTGTGTCTCTCAGGGAGCCTTTTCCCACCTTGSTGGGGGCTGGATCCTGCCCCACGGGCTGGCAGTGCTCACCGAGGGGGGGATATCTCGGTGGGGAAGAGGGGGAGGCAGTGCGGTTTACTTTCCAGCTTCCCAGAGAGGCATTCCTGCCTTTCAAAGTCCTACCTGCGGGGGCCCAGGAGGCAAATTCCTCTCTGCGGGTTGCATAATTTGCTGAGAAAAAATCCTGCCATAGCCTGGGGTGGGACGGGGGGGTGTTACCTGCCCTACCCCCCTCTTAGCAGCCCTGTCCTCCCTTGCCCGACGGTGCGGGACACGCGGGGGTGGCAGCCTGCACCTTCCCGAAGCCCTGGGAACGCGAGGCTCGGCTCCTCGCTGCGCCCCTCGGGCTTCCTAAGCTGGGTTTAAGTTTAAGGGCTGGAGCCTCCTCGGGCGTGAGGCCCCCGTGGGAGAGGCCCGAGGAGCGGCGTGGGATGCTGTGGAGCRGCGCGTCCCCTTGAGCGGCGCCCTCTCCGCTGCCCATGCCCCTTCGGGCCGCTCGTCAGCTCCCAGCCCGCTCCCGGGGACGCTGTTTTCCGCCTCCCTCCTGTTTACCCTCCCGAGTCCTTGGGAGCTATCGGCGCCTCCCTCCTGTTTGGGTTAAGCGAGGGCTCGCCGCGCTTTCCTGCTCCCCCTATCAGGGCGCGCATCCTTGGGCTTGGGCAACGCTCCCTGCCCACCTCCCGGGGCCAACAGCCCGAATAAACGGGGGGCAGAAAGCCCGTTGTTGTGTTTTTAACCCCTCTGCGCTCATAAAAAAAGCTGCATTTGGGGGTTATTTATGGGTGCGATGCCCCGTCGCCGCCGCCTCCGGGAGGCCGCGAGGCGGGCGGGCGGCAAGTCCTTTCTTGACGCGCGTGTAATTAAATTAAAAGGAGGGTGTGGGGGGAAGATGAAGGGAGCCAGCGCCTCCGTGGGCCCTGGATGCGGCTGCAGCCGCCTCTGCAGCACAACCGCTCCGAGGGCTGGCTCGACCAGGCGTCAAGCGCCCGGTTCATCCTTGGGGTGTCTGCTTGGGAACGGGGGGCCAGGACGACTCCGCGCAGCTGCTGCTGCTCCCTCCGGGTTCGTCCCCGCTTTGCCAGTCCCGCAGGCTCCTGGGGGCTCCCTCGGATGTGTTTTCTGGAGAGGCAGYGTTGTTTCGCATGGGGGTGCATGATTCAGCCTCTTGGTTTGCCCGGGAAGTCCATTGCATCCCCTGAGCTTTGTTTGGAAGGGGCCGTCCGGAGCCAGAGCCGTCGCTCTCCCATGAGACTCCCTGAGCGGTGCCCCCTGGATGCCACCGGGACGGGAGCCAAGGCACTGGCTCCAAGTGGAGCGGGAAGCACCGTCCTGAAGGCTCCTTGCACGTGGTGGTGGGGACAAGAGCAGCCAGACCTGGCATCGGCTCCCATCCAGACACCCCACTCCATCCCTGCTACCTCTTTGCTCTAGACCCCGCTGCGGTGCTGGGGTGACACCATCATCTTCCTCTCTCCTTTGGCTAGCATGCGCCAAGCCGACGGCTCTACATTTCCACCCCAACACTCCCAGGACAAGCACGGATTTCGTTCTCCTGCACCGGGAGCACGCGGTTCCGGAGGGGAGGCCAGGTCTACCTGACTGCCACCCTTGCTGCCCCAGCCCTCCCCTTCACCCTGCGCTGCYGCCCGGCGCCCGCTCACACCGCCAGCGAAGAGCCCTGCTCTGCCTCCGCCACAAACACTGTCCTTGCAAAGAAAAAAGAGAGAAAAAAAAGCCAGCTCCAGGCTTTTCACTTGAAGAGAAAGAGAGAGGAGAATAGACTTGAAAGCAAATTCTTGTGTTTTCTTTTTTTTTTTTTCTTCTCTTTCACTCTGGGCAACAGCTTTTCCCACGCTCCGCTGGAAGGAGCGCAGGAGCCAGCCCTCCCCGGCGCCCGCGCGCTGCGAGGGACAGCGAGGGACGGGCCRGTCCCGCTGGGAGCCGCGGGATGCAGCGGGTCCCGCCGGCTGCTCCTGCGCCCGTGGCCTTGCCGGGTGCCTCCCGGCTGCGTCTTCCCGAGGCTCCGCTCGGAGCACCCAACGGGCGGCGCTTTGCAAGGACGTTCTGGAGGAAGCGCCTGGAGGCTGCAGCGCTACCCGCTGATGGTCCTGGTAAGAAACGGGGCTCCCCACCTGCCCTGGCCTTGGGCTTGGTCTGGGCAGCAAGGCCATGTGGGGAGGAGGGTGGGCGGGTTTTATTTTACTCCTTCTTACTGCTTTTCTGTGTTGCTGTTTTGGAGGGATCTTCTCTTAGCAATGCCACYGCCGCCACCTGCTCTGCCACCCATGAGGATTGTGTGGCGCGAGAAGATGACRTTGCCCCTGGCCGGGGATGTGTGGACGTAGACCTCTTGCTCCTGCGAGAGGTCTCACCTTGCAGGAGCTTGCAGGTCTCACCTTCCTTGTACTGCTCCCTGGGATCTGCTCCCCACAGTGTGTGTTGTGGGTGCCAACAGGCGCCAGCACCGAGGCCACCACGGCCAGGGCTGGACGGGTGGCTCAGGAGAGGAAACGCAGGCTCCACAATCCCACAAGGGCAGACAGCTCCCTGTCCCCACAGGGACCTCCTGCAGGCATCAGGCTTCGAGTCTCCAGACGTTATCTCGATCGTGTCACCTCTCCGGGGGGGACGGCAGCAGCCCGGCCACCGCTCCGGGCCGGCATGTCCTCCTTGGAGCCGCTGTGAGGAAGAGACGGGATGATGCCACGTGGCTTCCTGCATTCGGGCAGAGCCCCTTCAGTGCCACGCTCTTGTGCCGGTGCTTTTGCAGCCCGTTCTCCCACCCGGCGGGGAGCGGAGGCCAGAGCAGCTGCGGGCGTCCCCAGCRCCGGCGCACAAAGCCCACTTGTTGCCCGCGCTGTCCTACGTCCCCGCGCCCCCCTTCCCGCCGCTGCCCGCTCCAGCCACCGCCGCTCCATCCTGCAAGCACGGGACGAGCATCCGTCAAAAGCGCCATTATCCCGCGGCTTCTGAGCGGCCACTGTTGCTCTCGGGCGCGGGGGGCCCAGCTGCCCCCTTGGGCACCGTGCCCCACGCTGGGAAGGAGCAGTGCCTGGCGCTGAGGAGGGGCTGCACCCTCCGGCCCCCTGGCCCGCTCACGCAAGGGCGGACAGGTCCCCATCCCTACAGGGACCTCCTGTCCAAAGGGATCTCCTGTAGGGATCGGGCTTTGGGTCTCCACGTGTTAGCAAGGAGGTAGCTCCAGCGCCAGGTTGTTTGGAGACCACCTTAATCTTGGAGGCCTTGTGTCCATCCTTTTACCCCACGCTTCCCCTTTCTTTGAGTTGCTGGGACCTGCTGGGTGGGACTTAAATGGCCTTAATGATAATTTAAATGATGCAACAAATGAGGAGCTACCTGGTAGCCAAGTGAGCTCGCAACTCACCCAAGGGGCTAAAAGATCCCTCTTGATCCAAGGCTTGAACCTTTCTTGAACCTTGTCTGGTTGGTGAGAATAGGAGGTCGTGCTATTTCCCACTCAAATCTCTAGCCAAAAAAGAAAAAAAGAACGGTTTTACTAGAAAAAAAATGCTTTTTTTTTTTTTTCTTTATTCTGAATCCCAACGCCTTTGGCCTGGGAAAGACCTTTCCACCTGGAACGACTGAAGGCTGCGATGGGAGATGCCCAAGAAGTCCCCGCTCCAGTGTTGGCGCTGGGCAGTGCAGAGCGCACGGCCCTGGGGACCGACCTCTGCGGCCGCGGTGCCAACCGGCTCCCTCCATTCCCGCATTCCCACATTCCGAGGCAGGGGAAATGCCGGGGAAATGCAGGGAAATTCTGGGGTGATGGTGGTTTCCCCCTCCACAAGCCCCCCTGGGTTGCTCTGGGAGTGCGTGACACCAAATGCCCAAAAAAAAAAAAAAGTAATAAAATAATAATAATGAAAAAAAAGAAAGAAAGAAAAAAAAAGGAAAGAAAGAAAGGAAAAGGGAAGCAGAAGAGCAAACAAAAAGCACGCAGCAAGGCGGCCGTGGGCGAGCAGGCGCCCGCACGCTCCTCGGGCGGGGAGCGAGGTGAGCCAATTTCGCCGCGTTTCTCCCCATTTCGGCGGGGCGCGGGGCGCGGCTTCTCGCCGGGTCTGGGGGAAGCAGCGCGGGGGAGGCGCCGGGGGGCGGGGGGTGGGGGTGTGGGGTCTGCAAATCGAAAGGAAAGAAAGAAAGAGCGAAAAAAATCCGCCTCCCCCACGCCGGAGCCTGCCGGCTGCCAAGAGGCGGGTTTTTATTAAAAAATAAATAAATAAAAAAGCTGAATTTCTTTTTTTTTTTTTTCCTTCGCTTTGTTTTGCGGGGCGGGTCGGGGGGCCGGTCCGGGGCGGGTCGGGGCGGCCGCTCGCCCCCAGCCCGCGCGGGGCCCCCGCTCGCCACTCGCCCGGCGGCGGCACGAGGAGGAGGAGGAGGAGGAGGAGGAAGCGGCACCGGCACCGGCACCGGCACCGCAGCACGGTCCCGGTGAGCGGCACCGCGGCGGGAGGGAGGGACAAAGCCGGGCCCGCTGCCACCGAGCACATGGCCCCAAACTTTCCCCGGCCCCGAGGGGATGCCCGGATGCCTCGCTCATTTTCTTTCCTTTATTCCCCCCCCCCCCTTTTTTTTTTTTTTTTTTTTCCCCTCTATTTATTTATTCTTTCTTTTCTCCCCCGCTGGGGCATCCTCACGCCGCCCCTTGCATCGGAGGTGGCAATGTATAGACTCCATACATCGGCCAAGGAGGGGTGGCCGCTCTGCTTGCCGGCCAAGCGTCACCTGCGGGGAGGTCTGGCGCCCGGGAAAGCTGCGAGGAGGGAAACCCCAGGCTGGGGAGGAAAAAGAAATAAAAAGATGCTGACAGCGCTGATCGTGAAATCAAAAAATGAAGATTTGATTTTTTTTTTTTTTTTCCTCCTGGCTCTGCTCCCTGCTCCCCTCCCTTTGATTTGCCTCTTTGCTGGGTCTTGTTGGGATTCACATCAAACTGCGGCTGAGCCGCCGGCAGGGCGAACTTCCCAGCTTTCATCCTGGCATGAAGGCTCCCCGTGCCATAATGCTTTTTGTTTGTTGCTTTGTATTTTTATTTATTTTTTATTTTCCGGTCAGGTCGGTAGATTAATGACGGGACGTGCAGATCATCCCTGCTGGCAAAGCGGATGGTCCGGGTCCGAGAGCAGTCCGGTTAAGGACCACACGCTCACAACTATAAGAATACTCTATATTTTTAAAAAGCCTGCTTCCCTGCAAACAATCATCTTGACRAAGTACTGGTGTACGTCCGAGAGTGCGTTGCTCCCCTTCGGTTGATCCGCAATTCTCCTGTGGAATCCGTGGGAAATGCCTTTCCAAAAGGTCCCGCCTTTCCAAAAGGTCCCAGGGGTGACGTTTGAGGTCAGCCCGTGAGTTCGCTTTGCGACGGTGACGGCTGGCGGGGGACAGGAGGACCTCAAGGAGGTCACCCCCCTTCAGAAGGACCCCTTGGAGGGAACCGTGTGCCGAAGTTCTCCCGCTCCAGCTGCACTGGCCTTCCCAAACCCGCCAAGCTTTTTTTTGCAGGGCTCCAAAGCATCTCCAAGGCTGCCAGCTCGGRGGAGCTCCGGCTGAGCACGTCGGGCTGGGGGTGGCATGGACAGGAATGCAGGAATGTCTTGTTCCTGGGGCATTTCCTTCTGGAGCAGGGCGACGGGAAGGGATCCGGGCCTGCACGCGACCCAAGAGCCCAACACTCTGGCTCCTGGCAGACAATGCAGCGTTTCAGGGAGCTGATGCCAGGGGCATTTTCTTGGGAGGAGCCGTTTCCAAGAGCTCTTTCCCGTCACCCTTTGTCCAAACCTTGCATGAGGCTGGATGTAGCCGGGAATTAAAGGGCGCAGGGAATTAAGTCACCTAGGAATGACGCTCACTTGATGCCTTCTTGGCTACCGATTCAGGCTTAGAAGCTGAGGCTTTTTGAGTGATTCTTAAGGCTTTAGTGAAGCTGTGGCAGAAAAACGTAATAAAACCCTTTTTATATGAGAAATCTCCCCGTTTTTGCCTGCAGCGGAATTAACCGGCGCGTCGGTGCTTTCCCAGGTGAGGAGGCCGCCTGCAGGGCCGTCATCCCCAGGGCCGTCTCCTGCAGGATGAGCAGCGGCGGGCGGCGCCGAGGCCTCTCAGCCTGAGGCGGGAGGGCTTCGAAGATGTCCGCGTGCAGCGACTTCGTGGAGCACGTGTGGAAGCCCGGCTCCTGCAAGAACTGCTTCAACGCCAAGAGCTCGCACCGGGCGCACGCGCATGGGCCCCCGGGCGCCGCGCCGGACGACGACGGCGTAGCCGCCGCCGCCGCCGCCTTCTCCAAGCCGACCATCGCCGTGAGGCCGACCATGATGAGCGCGGATGTCTCGGACACGTGGGCGGACGTGACCGCGGACCTGGCGCAGGTAATCATTAAGCCAGGGAGCGGCGGCGGCTGGGAGCACCGGGCATGTGTGCCGGGCATGTTGCCTTCCTGCTGCTTGGCCTCCTGGTCTTGTCTCGGGTGGTCTTGTCTCGGGTGGCTTCCGAAGGCGGCGCTGGTTGAATGGGGGGGTGTCCGTGGGGCACCCGAGGCCCGGAAGGCTGGGAGCTGGGTGCAATGGGCTTCCTTGCTCTGCCAYTAGCAGAGATATGGAGCTGGGACAGTGTCTGCAAGATACATGGCTTTAGAAAACATTTAGAAATACACCAATGTGTGCATTTTGGTATGTGTAGCTTCACGGACTAATGAGATAATACAGTTAGGTGTCATGCTGTTGGTCCCCAAAATTCATCAAGAGAYGCAAATCCCTCATACCTGCTCTTGTAGAGCCTCAGCTTAGGCCCTTAATAATACTTTTCGTATGTCAAAAAGTTCCTCCTGCACCTGTAGTGTACTCACATATTTATTCTCTTTATTCACACCAAAGCGTTATATAAATAGATACAGGGTGGGAACACACAGGGSGGCACGAGGACAGTTCGCGTGGATCCCGCGCTTCGCCCCTCTGCTTTCCTGCATGTCCTGACGGCCTCGTCCCACGCAGGTCGGCTGGGTCTCGGGCAAGCACCTCCTGCTGAAGGCGGGCGACGTGCAGCGGATCCGCCTGGACGGCTCCGGGAGAGCCGGCGCCCGCCGCCCGCCCCGCTGCCCGCCGGGCTGCTCCCTCGCGGGCCCGCGCAGCCCGGCGCTGGCGGGC